TTCCTTCCTGCATCTTTCCTTTGTTTATTTTGCTGCTGTTGGAAATCTTGAGGATATCAATCCCTTTTAGTTGCTAAGTTCTTGAGGGTTTCTTGGGTTTGCTTTTTGGTTTTGCTCCAGGTAAGCAGAGAGGTAACTTGGCCCTAATTGGCTCCGTCTAATTTTCAAGTAACCTGTCTGCTTTAAAGAGAAATAATCCCAGTTTTATGGGATAAAGCCTAGGGAGGGGAGGGGATACGGGAGGAGGTTGGGGAATCTGGAACTAATGGGGAAATGCATTATAAATTCCTCTGGGGTGTCATTTAATGGTGGGGAAACCAAAGATGCAAAACCTCCTGGGGTGGGAGGTGGGCATGGACGGGGAGGTGGGGAGGGATTATTTGCTACAGTTTTTTCTGCAAATGCTTTTAATTCTGTTACTTCTCAGAAGCATTTACTTAAAGGGATATTTGGGTAATAGGGTTTCTAATGGCTTTCCCTGATACTAAACCGATTAATAACCTCAGCTTTTCTAGAAGTGCTCACTTTCTCCTTGCAGCTGCTTGACCAACCCTTTCACCCCTGCCCCTATCCATGATGCTTTGAATGTCTGTGTCGGTCTCTTGCATTTGCTCTCACGCTGCACTAAAGAAGCAAAGTGGTTGGCTGGTTGTAGGGCAGACACTTCTCAGCGAGGGTCACTAGCCATGAACCTGAACCTTGACCATTGTTATGTAGGTAGGCAAAATAACTTTTCTTTATGTCATCTGTCAGCCTCAGACGTTTCGATGTTACCTCCATGAATAATGACACGTAGCTCTTTGCATTCTCTTGGTTATTTTAATGATGATTGCTGTCCACTTTTGACTTTCCTCTGTCCATGAAGAGACTCGCATGGGAGATTTGCTTGTGTGTATGTGTTTGAGGACTCCAGAAATACTTTACTCTTTCCAGACCTTCTTTTGGAAAACCCCTTAACACCCAGCAGAGGGAAAGGTTTGCAGATGGGTCCAAGATGGGAAACCACAGCGCTGCTTGCAAAGGCTCTGTCACTGTCCTTAGAGTTTTCTGGGCCGTGATGCAGACTCTCTTAGTATCAGGGTAATTGCCTGGCCATGGTCCTGCCTGTATCCATGTCAGAGGTAGGAATAGCTGCAGGAAGACCTGTTTTCATCTGGTTTGAGGTAGACAACGCTGCTTTCTTACAGACCAAACACCAGGTTGCCATTCTGGTAAGAGGCAAAGCTTGTGGTTTCTTGTCTAGTAACCTTGGAGGGGAAGCTGCTAATATGGGCTAAAGCCACAGGGGACTTTTGAAAACCATCAGGATAAGTAATACCTTGAGCTTTCTGGGACCAAAGATCCACACTTCCTCCTCCTCCATTTTCTGTTTTCCCTAAGAAATTAGTACCTTCTTCCCTGACTGGGAGGGTGGTTTGACCCAAATGAAAAAACCCCAAACAAACCCGTGAGGGTTCACTGTTTCCCTGCACAGTCATTCCCATGTGATAGATTTAATGTTTTTAATTTTCTAAGTATTTCTGGAGTCAGCAGCACAGCACATCTGGGGGGAAAAAATGCATTTTCAATGATGATAATTGGCTTGTTTGAAAAAGAAATGAAAAATAAAAGTGCCACGTGCAATTGGACGCTCTAAAGTCAGTAACCTCCAGAATTTGGACAGATCACACAAATCAGATGTCAATGACCCAGTAGCTGTCTAAAGTCTGCCTGTACTTAGCCTGCTTTGTATGCTGTAGGCCTGCTTGGTGTTATGAGAAAACCATGCTATTTTTTTTTCAATGTGAAATGACTCTTTTTAAGTGTGTGATTTTTCCTTCCCCCCTTCCCAAGCTTTTCCTGTCCACATCCCCCTCAACCCGCCTTGTTACATCAGTCTTTAAACCCCAAACTGTTTAACCAGTTTCTCTTCACCATTAACAGATCTTCATTTACTGCTCTCCTACAGTAAAAGACAGTTAAAAGCAATGAGAAAAACGTTAGTTGGGTTTGGGTTTGAATTTAGTGCAGGTAAAAAATAAGCTTAAAAATGTCTTCTTTAGGTCCAGTTTATCAGTAGCATTTAAATCTGAATTGATTGTTTTGGCTGTAGAGTTGTATGTACACGTGTGGTTGCATGTGGATATATACACACATATACATGCTCTTTAAAATGTCAATTAGAAAAGATATTCTTAACTTGGAGTGTATTTTTTCCTTACCCTTGTTCAGCGTTAACAGAATTGCAATTGAAGGAAAAAGAAATGATGTTTTAAATGTCTTTTTCTCCATTGTTAACTGAAAATCACCTTTTCAGGAGTAAAAAATGGAGGCTTCAGTTGTGTAAAGGCATCTGTGCATACTTCATTTTAAGCCCACATATAGTTTGGGTACAGTAGGAGTAAAACTGCTTTGCATTAAACACAGGCATCACAAGTCTCTCCAAAAAGCCATGCATATGGCCACAGAGCACCAGCAGCTTATTTGCCACCATAACCATAAATGTGGGGACTTAGTTTAGAAGGTTTGGAGCAGAGCCCCAGATAGTTTATTTTGTCCCATTTGTTAGTTTTCGTCCCTTGGAAAACGGAGAGGAAGAGGAGCAGGGATTGTGCTGTGCATGTAGAGTGGAGTTAGCAAGATCTGCCCTTGCCATGAGAGGTGGAGGAGGATAGATCTGTGCTGCGAACGTGTTAAAACGTGTTTATTTCCAGGCTGAAAATTGTATTTCATGCAGCTAAAAATACAAGTGTGGCAGGGAAAATGCTGACAAGAGACTATATCTTCAGTTGTCTTTCCGTAGCGTGACTTTGAAAGAGGTTAGAATAACTGCCAGGTATGTTATTGTGCCGTGCATTTTCCGTGGCATGAGTAATAGCTGCTTTCATCCTGCCTTTTAAATCTGTTTTACCTTGCTGCATTTGAAATACTGTAGCTGCTGGGCACCTTTATGCCCTCACATGTGCAGCATCTTTCAGTGCTGAAGGAGTGGTGGGCAGGCAGTGAGCTGAGCCAAGGGGGATTTGCATGGGACAGGTCATGGAGGGATTGTCCTGATTTTTGACCTGTTTCCCTCCCCAGCTTCTCCGTGAGCTGCTCTCAGCTCATCCCACTCTTTAGGTCTGACATGTGAGGTTGATTCTTCCATTCTTTCTCCTGGTTTTCCCAGCCAAATGAGAGGTGTGGAGGGGGTCTCATTACCCGCTGGTGTGGCATTGAACTCGGGCAAGGATTTTGCTGCTTTTCAGGCAGGTGCTTTTCACATTTCAGAATAGCTGAGTTCATCTGGATTTGGTTTCTTTTTGGCAAAAGGTAGGGAACCAGCAGTTTTGCCCCCTTCCTGGTAGGGGAAGGAATCTGATCCTAATTTGCTGCAGAGTTTCTATGTTTTCCATGTGGTTTGTATGCAAGGAGTGAGCAGGGCTGTGGATTTCATGGTGTTTCCTGCAGGACTATAGGTTTAAGTAGCGTTTTTATATCGCAGGGAGCCAGCCTGAGCAACTGAAACGGGGAAGGGATTTTGATGCTGTTAAAATCAGTATTCTTGTGACTATCTGATGTATGCTATGGAGAGAAGCTCTCCTTGTTAAAGGAAAATAATACGTATATATAGCTGGCCATTACTTCAGTTGATAAAATGCAAGGATGAGAACGCTGGTTTCTGATATTCCTCTTATTTCTAATGTCACGGAGAAATAATCCAAAGTGGAAAACTGACACATGGTGTTATTGGTTTGGGTTTTTTTAAACAGCCAAGTGTTGAGGACGTTTTTATCTATCCCAGAGGGCATACGTGAAAAGAAAAGGATTTTCTTGTTCATTCCAGCTCATTTTGAAGGGATCTGGTTTCTCATTTGGCTGGTGTTCAGTGGGAGGGGAGCTGGCAAGTGGGCTCAGGCTGGGGAGAGCAGGGCTCCTGCTGGTGGTGGGAATTCTGCAGCAGCCTCCATGATCCTACTTAAGCCCTCAATTTTGAAAGAAATGAAATACCTTTTCCAGACCCATTTTTTGCAGTTAAATCTATTTCATCTAGATTTATGTGCTCATATATGTGTGTGTATATGTATGTGTGTGGTAAGTGCACGCTCACCAGCACAAACTGGATGAGATGCTGTTAAAATTAATTGCCTTTGAGCTGATGACAGACTCCTGGGAAGTGCTGTAGGAAGGGAGAGGTGCCACTCTCAGAGCATCTACCCTCAAAATACCTGCTGTATATACACCGTAAAGGAAAACCCCAGCCCACTGCTCTCTGCAGGTGTCAGCCGAGGCTGATTTCTTTGCCAGCGTTAGACTGTGGCTGTGGGCAGCTCTTCCTGCCTGTGCTGAGCTGGGCTTCCCTAGCCTGAGCTGTAGAGAGGGAAATGAAAAGCACGGAGAGTTTTGAGGCAGAGTGTTTAAACACTCCTCCAACACTACCTACACTTCCCCCCCTCCCTTATGCATTCCAAATCCATTGCTTTCAAATTATTATTTCCCTCCTTCTTTGCATTACTCCTCCTGCCCCTTCTCTCTCTGTCCTCCTTGCTTCCCGCCATGGCGCAGGCTGATCTCTGGTATTCCCCTTCCATGCTGATCTCTGGTTCTGATTACACTAACGGATTTTGTTATGGAGGAAGAGGTGGTGGGTGGGAGGGGAATCCCACAGCTCCGAGGTTGGGATTTTCAAAGGAATTAAGCTTTTAATTCCTCCTGAAAGCTGCAGGGAAGGAGTGCGTGGCATCCTTTTCAAACCTCTGCCAACATCCTGCTCTTCCCTCCCTCGCCTTGAATGGGTCCTCTCTGCTGTACCCTGTATTGCTGTGTCCCTCAAGGGTGGTGGTAGGCAGGGTGATACTGGCTGTATGGCTGCAAAGACACGTGTGTGTCTGTAGCCAGCATCTCCTGGCACAGCTTATGAGGGGCTCAGTGCTACTTAGGTGAGCACAGAGCAGCAGGAGAGTTACCACTTTGGGGTGGAAGTGTGGCTGATGCACGGCTCTATGAGATGTGTAATGGGCTCCCTCTTTTCTGCATGCTAGATTCTAGCTCAGAGGAGGACGAAGAGGAGGATGAAGAGGAAGAGGAGGAGGCAGAGGACTATGGGACAGACGGCACCGACAGGCTTTCATCGCCTGCCCTTGATGAGAGTGGCTTGGGCCTTCTAGCAAGGTTTGCTGCCAGTGCCATGCCCAGCCCCATCGTTCCTCCTCCACTCTCCATCATCCAGCTGGAGGCCAAGCAGAAGGCAAAGAAGAAGGAGGAGCGGCAGAGCCTGATGGGTGAGTTGCATGGGTAGGGTTAGTGCCATGCGGGCCAAGGTGGAAGGTTCAGGAGGTCCTGGCTGTGCTGCAAGAGAGCAGGTTATTACCCAGACACTGTCTTGCTCTTTCTTTGCTTTTAGCTGCTTGGTCCTGATGCTGAAGGCAGGGGGAATTGCCTGGCAAGAAAGCAAGAACCAATCATGGGTAATGGCAGGTTTAGCAGCTGCAGCCGTTGCTTTCCTAGGCTCTTTGTCAAAGTTTCCTCTTGTCCTACCTGGAAAATCCTTAACAGGCTGCAGAGGCAAGCTATGGGATACTGTATCCCCTTGGACATAGCGCTAAAGGCAATGAAGAGCTGTTACGTTTTAGGGAAGGAAGCATGCGCTAAATGCAGCTGATCTTAGATACCCAAAAGAAGCAGAGACAACCAAGCACAAGAAAAACCCTTTCAATCAGCCCATCCCATCAGCTTCCCCGTAGAAACCAGCCAGGGAGACTTGAAACAAGCATTCCTTCCTCTGATCCTGTGTTCTCAGTGCCAGACTCTGTGTTTCTGTCTCTGTCCTTGTCTTGGTTTCAGTGTCTAACACGTAATTGGGAGTTTCATTCCTTCCCCTCCCCATGCTCTGCTGCACAAGTGCCCGTTGGTGACATCGTTCCTGGTCAGACACATCTATATAGGCTCCATTTATAAATTCTCTATTAATATTTATTAAGTGATAATGGAATTTATAGCATGCTTCAGAATGGAAAATGATGTCTTCCTTGGGAGCCTGGCTTGTTTTAGCACTGTTTCCATGCTATATTAGGTTTTTGCCAACTTGTTCCAACAGCCTCTGTTAAGAATTTATTGTCTTGTAACCTGCCCTCCTTGAAACTGGAAGCATCTAGAAATTGCCTCACGCAGAAGTGAGAGAGGAGGAGGAGTGTTGTAATTTCCAGTGGGTTTTTCATTTTGAGCCTTGCCAGCTTTGGTTTTGACAGGCTTGCTCTTTTCCTGTTCATGCTGGGGCTGTCTCACGGGAAGAGGTTGGGTAGAAGATGAGAGCAGGTTCCTGCACACTGAATTTCCCTAGGAAAGTGAGCATAGTTGAGAGAGAAGGACTGAAAGGAGATGCTTTCCATGCCTCTGTCTCCTGTATCTTCATTTTCCCAGGTGAATTCTGTTCAGTTCTTCGTGTCCTTTCTCCAGAGTCTCCTGCTCACAGTGGTTATCACAGCAGGAGCCATTCACTGTTGAGCTTGAGAAGAGTTTATGTCAACCACCCTGGCATGAAGCAGGGCCTCATTTCAGACCTTGCTGGTCTGAAGGCAGAGTCATGCAAACGTATGTGCAGACAGGGCAGGTCCATAGCAGGCTGGAGGAGGATACAAGAGAGACCTTTATGCAGAGGGAGAACCAGGTGCTGCTGATGTCTGTACACACCTTCAGAGGTGCTGTGCCACCCCATGAGGTCCAGTGTCCTGAAAAAGAAATGGATCTAGAAAATCCGGGCTCAGGCTCTGGTTCCAGCACAGACTTAGTGCATGACCTTGGACAACTTTCTTGGCTGTTGGTATCTCTCTGATGGCACAGTGCCTCTGCAGCCACAGAGCTTTGCCTACTTCCTGCCCATGTTGCTGGATGTGGAGGTGCTGCCTCCATTTCCCTTTTGCTCCTGCAAACATATGGTCTTGTTCTCCCTTATCAGACTGGGGGGAACAAGCTGAAGGTGGGGAGCATTTTAGTGTTACTATGATACTTCTGGCCTCTGGGTACTGCTGTGCCCTTGATGCTGAGCAGAGGCCAGCGTGAGGGGATTTCCATTTGCCACAGACAGAAGATCATTTACCTCTCTTGACTTTAAGGCAGTTACCTGAGCCAGTAAAAAGATTTGTGGTGTCTGTTGGCCAATGGGAAAAAATAAGCTTGAAATACAGGTTTATTTGATTTGTTAAAAGAGATTGTCCTCCTGCAACTAAGGTGAGACTGGCGAGGACTCCCACCAGGAGAGGAGGAAAGCTCAGAGCTTTGTGGGGTTTGTGCTTGGCTTCATCTGAGCAACTCCTTTTGACTGAGGGGCAAACAATAGAGTATCTTTTCTTTTAAGAGCTTCTCTGCAGGGTTTTGGTTGTGGGAGAAGGGAGAAAATGGAGGCAGGGAATATACTGAACCACACTGCCCGAGCGTGTGGGCTCTGGTTTGGGGCAAGGGAGACTTGAAACAGGGAAATCAGTGTTTTATGGGGCAGAAATGCAGATCTAAGGGATGCAGGGATTGGAAAGAGGAACAAGCAAGGGCTCTGTTGAGCAGGCACAGCATCTCCCATGGAGCCCAAAAGCTTCCAGGCAGATGTGGCCCCTCTTGGCTCAGCCAGTGCTTTGACTGATGTTTAAATCCTTTGCACCTAGGGACAGAGTTTGAATACACCGACTCAGAGAGTGAGATCAAGATCAGGAAGAAGTCTCCTTCAGGACTGCTGCGGGGTAAGAAGGGGCCGCTGGAGGCAAGCAGCATCCCACCAAGCCAGGCCCCCAGCAGCCTCGACTCCGGATCTGGGAACGCTGACAAGGCCAAGCTTGGGTCTGAGAAAGGCCGTAAGCTGAAGAAATTCAAGTCCCCCAAGGACCTGAGCTTTGAGTTTGGGCTGGAGGCCAGCGATGATGACCTGTGGAACCGGCGCCGGAGCGAGCGCATCTTCCTCCATGACGCCACCATGTCCTCAGCCATGCTGACCCCTGCGGCGCCTGCCAGCTCCACTCCTGTCTCCAAGCCTGGGCGCTGTGGCAAGGGGGCACCCATGAGCCCCAAAAAGGAGGGCAGCAAGGGGAAGGAGAGGAAGGAGCTAAGCAAGGTGAGGAGTGCTGTGGGATCCTTGGGGGCTGAGCATGAGGAGAGGGTGATTAACTCTGCTGGGGCAGAAGGTGGTTGAGTCCTGTCTTGGTAGTTGCTCCAAGTGCTGTTTGGCTGCCCCTTGTCACCCTTGCCAGCCGTATGTACACCCAAAGGAGCTGTCAGGCTTGGATCTGACACTCAAGCAGTAAAAGCCTGTTGTTTTTAAACAGGTTACTTGTATCCCCCTCCATGTCCCAAACCCATCCCGCTTGGATTGGTCAGAGTGGACATTCCTGGTTTAAAAGCACT